AAGTGCCACAAAATAGAATAATAAAACGAAAAAAAAAAAATTAAAAAAATAACGAGACTCATAACTCAAGAGACTTTGAGTGAAAAAACCAAAACTATTAAAACTAGAAACCTCACCAGATGCTACTATATAACAAATCTATCTTTATGAAAAGGTAAAAATATACAATCAACCTACACAAACACACACACACACACATATTAAGTGTTCCGTATTCGATTTATTGGGCGACGATAAGAACTCACATTCGCGGTCCTTCAATCACCAAAAGTCCATCGAGCATACATACACGTTATTGCTTATTCAATCTCGCCACACACAAAACACGCGAACCCTAATTAGGTTTTTAACAAAATATATACGACTACCGTTTTACAAAGAAGCAACACAACTTCATGCAATGATCAAATGTAGAAATATCAATATCCCGAGAAAAACGAATAGAACTTTCAAGACAATTGGTTTCCACTCAATAGGCACCGAGTGATAGTTATGAAAGCCGTGAATGTAACCTCCGTGAAAAGTACTCGAGAACATATATGGTGTTGCCCCATAAACAGTAGCATCATGAAAACCATTCACCTGTAATGACATATTCAGATTATCTCGTTATAATTATTTTCGTTTTTTTTTTTTCGGTAAGATCAATAAATTAATAGGATAGTATCATTTCAGATTTACTTTACTCCCTCAGTTTAGTTCTATGTTCAAGAAAATATGCATTAGTTATCTATAAAAATCACGAAAATCGGGGTAAAACAAGGAAACCACATTTATTATGCTTAGTGACTTCTATCACGAAACATATTTACTTCTGTAGAGTGACAATCACAAAATAACAACTTCACACAGTAATGCCAATTGTATATACATAATTTCTAAAGGTTAAATTGCAAACTTGGTCCTATTAGATTATGAAGGTGAAGGTAGCAAGTTAGGTCTCACCGGAGTGACATATAGCAATTTAAGTTTGTAATTTAATATTTTGCTGCATTTTCAGTCCTCCGACCGTTAAAATTCTAATTTTTCCGGTCAAAAGGACTCAAAATTGCAACAAAATTTTAACTTTGCTGATCAAAATCCATCCCAAATATATAAATTCAGAATTTTGACGGGCAGAAGACTGAAATTGCAGCAAAACATCAATATAGGACTTAAATTGCTATATGTCACTCCAGTGAGACCTAAATTGCTACCTTCATAATCTGATAGGACCAAAAATTGCATTTTAGCCATTTCTTAAAAAGCTACAAACTTCAAAACTCACCGGGATAAAAAAACGATTACTACCTGAAGGTTAAAAATTGCCGGAAGGGCGCCGAAAATAGTCGAGAGGGTCGTGTGACCAAACCGCGCGGCAGCCATCGGCATAAACCCTGTGATGGGGTCCACATCGTCCGGCCGAACAAAACTACTCATATCCACACGAGGCGCGGTTTGCGGCCTCTGTCCCATTGGCCGATTAGGAATAGTGATTCCCGTGTAAGATCTTGACCTAAATTCCTGGTTCGATTTTCCCCGGCCAAAAATAGGAACTAGCTTATCTTCCTGCACAATGGACTTACAAACGGGACATTCGTGCGAGTGTGAATGGAGCCGAAGCCATTGGTAGAGGCAAGGCCAACAGTACAGGTGGCCACAAAGGGTCACGATTGGCTCTTGGGCTAACTCGAAACATATGTTGCATTCAAAGTTTGCTGTGTCGAATAGTGTGTTATCTGATGAAGAATATGTGCTTTCGAGCAATGGATTAATCTCGGGCTCATGATCCATATGTACAGTATGAGATTGAGATTCAGATCTGCTTATTCACAAGAAGAATGAAAAAAAAAAAAATGAATCTTTCATTTATAATATATATTTGGGCTGATTTGTTATGAATTTCAAGTGAAGAGAACTTTCATAAAGGAACCCAAACATATCTGTATATATAAAATGCAGTTTTGTGCAAATACTTGAAGCAGGAAAAACTTTTGGCCTCCAAAAAGGGGCTAAATTCGACAAAATATCACTATTAAATTTGTTTATTCATCATTTTTACTTTTTTTCCCCATCTATTTTGTTCCTAGAGCACTCCAGAAATTCAGATTTAAAAAAAAATAAAATAAAATAAAATTAATGCACCTAACGATGAAGCTACAGCTCGACGATTAACACTAAATCTTATTCCAGAAACAAAATCAGCCAATTGAAATGCCCAAAATCACACAAACAAACGATGAAAATGTAGAAAAAAAAAACAGATTAAAAACAGATCTGAAGCTCCATAAACAAACAAACAAACAATCAAACAAAATAATGCAAAATCAGACGAATTCACAACGCATTTCACGAAATTAAAATAAGAGAAAGCGTGCAGGAAATCTAACCTTTTGCAGTGGCACACACAGATTGAGTTAGGTAAGTTGGGGGAAAAAGAAAAGGGATATGACTTTGTTATCATCAGATTCGCAATGTAATATAAAATAATTAAAATATAGAGTAATAATCAGATAATTGTAGAATCTGAGGGACTGAAAGTACAAATATGGGAAAATGAGCCCCGTTATCATTATTATTATTATCATTATTTTGTGGTATAATTTGGTGTTATTGCTCCTCTGTTTTTCATCTTGCAGGTAAGTTTACAATCAAGTATAATGACAATTTATCTGTCATTTATTTATAGTCCTTCGATCTTTTTTTTAATATTATAGAAATTCAATGGTTAGGCTTGTGTAGCAGCAGTCTCACTGATGAAAAATNGGTTAAATTATTTACTTCCTTCTTTTTCCTACATGTCTTGAACTTATAATTTTAATATAGATAATATTGTATTTAGTATCTTAGTATTATTGTATCTCCCCACGAATAGTTATCAAATAATATATATGCATGATTATTATTGTAAAATTTTTATTTAAAAAAGGTGGGGATGAACCAAGTTGACTCAAGTCAATATCAATTGAGTTTGGACCTTTGGTCTAATCTGATCGTGTTTGGTCTAATCTGTTCAATGGCTAAATGTGGTCAGCATTATTGTCTATAAATAAATATAACTGGTTTTCATCACATGAGCTACTTATTACTTTTTAGGTAGAAGTCTGTAGAAGTGACCAATAATAGTTCTTATTTTTTTGATGAAATTGACTGCTCCCGCGAAAAGTAAAATACAAATAAAAATGCCAAAAATTTGATCTCCACAATTTAGACTGAATGGAACACGCTCGATAATTTAAGTACATCTTGGAATATAAGATCAAAATATTAGTAATGGACTTGTATAGTTGTATGGAGAATGCTTGAAATTTGAATGCATCGTGGAGTTAAAGATTAAAATATTAGTAATGGACTTGTATAGTTGTATGTAAGTTTGTAAACGAACTGAGTCGAGCTCGAGTTTAAGGTGCTCGAGTTCGATTTCGAGCTCGAGCCCAGTCGAACTCAATTCGTCAAATAAACGGGCTAAAAATCGAGTACAAGCTCAGCTCATTCAGACCTCGAGCTCGAGCCTTAACATGCCGATCTCGAGCTGAACTATAAAAAATAATATAAAATTTCTCTTTTCAAAATTCACTAATTTGGTTATATTAATTTTTTTATATCATGTACTAATTCAAATGGTACGTTATACATGTTATTAATTAAAACATGCTATGCATATTTATTAAAAGAGTCTTCTATATAATGTGTTATCAATATTATTTTATTAATTTATTCTCTAAACTCCATCTTTCAAATAATCACAACCCAATAAACAAATGCCAACATAAATTAATTGATATAATAGTTTACACATCAAAATTAAATTTTTGCTTATAATAAAAAAATATTAAAATATTAAAATTAATTTTCATAAAAAAAATTGAACGATTCAACCAGCCAAAGATAGATTATTCCCTGTTATTTGGCGGCCGATTTTCAAAAGACGACCGTCTGGTCCGGTTTTCACAACCATGGCCTCTCACTTCGAAAAAAAACCTTGAATTTCGGACTAGTTTAATGATACCAATATCACATCAATAGTACCTCAAAACTCCATTCTAAAACTCTTAAAATAAGATATAAACTCCCACAAAGTCCTAAATGCCATCTTATAATTTAAAAATGCAGGCCAAGTAACTTGAACATGATTCGAGCAATTTTTTGCCAAACACCACATTAGCTCTCTTTCTCCTCCTAACAGACTCAGGAGGGAATTAATCAGAGGAAGGCTTCAACAAGTAATGATATTCAAAGCAANGCATATGTTTGATAATCCTCTTCAACAATTCACAATTGTACTAGTAAAGCTAATCTCCGGTGGAACGAAAATTTGCCGAAATAAAATATCAAAAACAAATAAAACAAATACATACCGATAAATTTATTTCATCAGCCATGTTTGGCCACCTGTTCAATATCAGCTCCAACTTCAGCAAGCTTGGCATCATTAGATGCCTTTGCAGCCTTGGCAATATTTACAACACCAAAATCCAAAGCCGAACTTCTCACAAGGCCTTCAAGCATCTGTGGGTGTTTACAAACATCACATTCAGCTAACTCATGTTGCATTGTTGCTAAATAAGAAGTAACAGGAAACTTCGAAACTTTACCAGCGAGCCAATAGCAACCAAAGCCCGAAATTTAGAATCGGAATCGACAGTTCCTTCTCCTGCCATCTTCACGAGGTACAAGAAAATGCCATACGGAAAATTTAAAGTTAGTTACATTTGAGGATCTCCATCTCAAATTATAATTACCACTCGCTTGTATGTAAAACCACCTTTCTTTAGCGCAAGAGTAGAAATGAAATCTTTAAAATTCATTTTTTATGCGATAATGAAAGGTGTGGTTTTTCTGGTAATAGGCTAAATTTCAGATGCTTTTTGTAATTATTGATTCGTATTTGTTAACGAATAAGAGCAGCGTAAAACAGTACCGCCAAAGCTGCCGAAAGGACTTGAGATTGGCCTTCTTTATCCTTCTTCTCCACCAAAAGAACAGCATAGCTGCACATTCAAGAGAAAATTCTCAACTCAAAACCCAGGAAGTGTGTAGATGTATTATACTTTTCAGTTTTGAATACATTGACAGCAGCAATTAAAAAGTCCACAACAAAATTTCGCAATAACATTGAGTGTTGCCATTGTTGATGGGGCTCAAATCTGAACATTCCGCGTGATAAATAGGTGTTACAGTGTATGAAGAAAATTGTTGCCATCTGTAATATTCATCTCGATTTAATTTTAAATGGCAAACAAATATGGACATTTAGCAAACAAAGTTTAAAAAAAATAAAAAAATTTGGATAACGATTATTTATCTTTCAGTGCAAAGTTAGCATTCTCAAAATTTATTCTCGTCCCACGTAGTTATTGAACAGACAAACAGAAAGAGCAAGCAAAATAGGTTAACAATCAAATTAACTTCAATATGGCATTCATTCTGCTACTTACTTGATTAGTAGTGTAGCATATGATAACTGGACATTCTTATTTGTAGATGACCAACAACTCGAGAAGGCATCAAGAATCTACAAAATTAGCAAATCAAGATCTCAGCAGTAAGTAAAAACCAGGAAGCAACTGCATCCCCCAAAACTTTGCATGCATACAGTTCTTTGGCTGACTGTTAGTACGTAAATGATACTCTTCACACTTTACACGTATAAGAAAGAGAGAAATGCTATAGGTACATAATATTGTACATAGGGGTGTACATAACAATCACATTAAGTGGGACCCACCAAAATTAGAAATCAAGTAGACCCCACTCCATGTAAGTGTTATGTACACTTCTATGTACATTTATTATGTACTAGTAGCATTTTTCTAAGAGAAGATACGAACCTCAACACGATGTGCTAGTAACCAATCATTGTAGGATGTGTTTTTGAAGAGATTAGTCAATGCACGGAGGCTTGTAAGCAAGTTCGCTGGAAGTGGAGGATTTGCAGCTACCTTTCTGATTAACTCAACTATTGTATCTGCTGAAAACAAATTAAAGAATGAGAGAGCAGTAAAGAAGAAAGAACTAAATATATAATAAAAGTGCCTAAAAGACAAGTATTTCACTTTCTGAACGAGTGCAGTAGGCAACCAGATGTCTGGGAATACCTCCAGGGAAAAAAAAAAAAAATCTCTCTCTAATAAACAACCACAAAAATTTACTTCAGATTTACCAATTACAAACATGAGTTCCATTTGCATGCAGAAGATGCCTTCATCAATGCTAAAAAATACATATTGGGAATAGATCTTCAAAAGTTGTTGGTTAAAAACAAAATGGTCAAATGAAAATTTAGTTGAGTACCATTTTCACCCTTGACATGCTGCAGAAGCTTGCCTGCTCCATCTGGATGTAGCACAATCATCCTCACAACATCCACAACTGCACAAAAGGTAGTCGATCAAATAAATATGTAAAAGGAATAAAAAAATTGCAGAATAATGCCAACAGTTTGATGAAGGTCAGTTCTGTGCCTGAAAAAGGATTCAACCACATAGCAGTTGTTTCTTCGAGAAAACATTAAAAACAAAAAAAATTAATGAAATTAGAGAAACCACAGAAAATGCAATCTCAAACTCATTTAGTTGAGGTCGAACTTCAACAAGCTTCAGAAGTATAGAATATAGATCAAGCAGCTTTCGTGTTAGACTTCACAAGTACTTCTTTGAGCCAGTCCTGAGCTGCTCTTGCTTTCAGGATTGCTATACGAAATACACTAAGTCACTAACAAAAACTTTACCGACCTCTACCAACAGTCCCATCATAATATTGCAACACCTCAACCTAAGTTTTGTCATACATATCAGTCTAATAAGGCTTAACACCAGCAGATCTTATTATTCCACTGCCAAGGAACTTCTGCTTTATCATACTTTATTTTATCTATGTATACAATTAGTCACCTGATAATTTTGTGATGAACATGCCAATACAGAAAGAGAGTTAATTTCATATCCAAGCAGATACAATCAGATCAAAATTCTAGCAAAAGGTACCAGGAAATAGCATTGCAACTGGCCATGTATTTAGCAACTTCAGCAGCAATGCAACATCAACATCTGAGAAAGTAGTGCTGTGATAGTGTGATGTGTCTTTCAAAATCTTAACGATGGCATTCAGTCTCGAAACATCAACCTCATTCATTGATAGATGTGATTTCTCCTGCAAGGTTGTTTTATATATATCAAGGAAAGAACGGCTATTCAAATAACTAGCATTATAAAAATCGCAGGTAACTATCATGCAACCAGATTACCGGATCAGACAGCAGGACACTGTTGAACTCGGAAATTTTTTTGAGGATTCCGTCAAACTGGGCAACATCGAACACAAGCATCCCTTTCTGGAGAGAGAACATATTCGTTTTTTAATTACACTGGTAATGAAGAATAAGCAACATGTACATATTAGCATTGTTTAGCGTAAGTCTTCAACTGAGTCCTCATATCCAAGATCACATTATTAATTTACCCAAAAATTCTTTAATTCTTTCAAGAGAATTCATTCAATGTTATTCAAGTCCTTCACAAGAACTATCCTCGAATTTTGTTCTATTCACCCAATAGTATCTTCCTATACCATCATGTCATGCTTTATCATCACCCAAAATAGACTCTTCTGTATCATATAGACGAGAAAAGATAAAACATGCTCTGGATAAACATGTCACTACATAATAATAGAGTTCAACTTCATTAAGCAGTGATTTAAACCCAATAATGAATAAGAAACAATTAGAAGTATACTTTGGGTATGTGCTTGTAAGAAGGCTTCGATACACCTGCATTAACACAAACGAAAATTGTAACCTCTATGCAGAAATAACGACACAATGACAGAGAAAGTGCACAAAGGTCAACTAGGAAATAAACCTGGCATTGCGGAAGGAGCTCCCGGTACATAAGCACTGGCTGAAGCATTAAGAGTAATAAGAGAAGTTAAGATTAAATGGCGCGTTAAAAATTATGAATTGACCTTACTAAGTTTTGGTCTAAACCTCCAGTGTAGGGGTCTCGAAACATTGGATCCGGCGTGAAATCCCTCTGGCCTGTATTTTGCATAATAAATTCCACTATTTGCTGCCGGTAAGAAAGTGGTAAATTCTGATTGAGTAACCACTTGTCAGCCACATCATATGGATTCTCTGTATGTAGGTTGTTTACAACGACAGTAGAAAGGAAAAGTGATCAAATACTGTACCAAAACAAATGTCACAGAGGCAAACGAGGGGGTTGGCTATAAACTCCATAACATGTTCTTCATCTTACAGTCAAGCGTGCTCCACAAATAACTTGATAAGCTAAAAGTTAAAAGAACTCATATAGTTCCTAAAAAAGACAATGCGTTGTCAGATAGTTTACCTGAACGATTGTAAGGCAATTTCCGTACGGGCTCACCATCTCCAATGTCGACATCGAATACTAAGGGGGATAAAATGTAACTTGTTACCAGAAAGGAGAGAACATAAGATTCATGAAAGAGTAGTAAGGCCAGGAAAGGCTTACCATAGTCATATTGGATTCCATCAAGCAAAGGACGGCTCATGTTATCATCAGGACCATCAACAACTTCACCAATCTAAATGCAAAAAGGAAATTAGAAAGTGACTATTTTAATATAATACGGCCACGGAATTGAACTAAATTAATAAAAAGAAGTCGATTGATATGCATAACTAGAACTTCCACGCGCATTATAGGACACAAAAAATTATAATAAGAATGGCATCCTTGATAAATAAAAAATCTGACTTCATGGAAACCAAATGGAAGATACGAACAAGAAAAAAAACATGGAACGTCAAAGGTATAACCACCACTGCAAACAGCTGTTTCACAAAAGGAAGGAAATAAAATTAATACGTACTTTAAATAAATGGAATGCTCTATTACCTTATCCCACTTCTGTTCTCTCATATTCCATGAGTAAGCCACACCATTGTCTCCTTCACGTACTATCTTGGTCTGCCCATCACTACTTCCTGATCATTTTATCATTAAAAGGGTATCGCATACACACATTGAATACGAAATAAATCCTTTATTCAGATATCATAAATATATTCAACTGGGATGCAGTGGGTGGATAATAAAATAGCCAATAAATAAGAAAAATTAAAAAAGAAAAAAGAAAAGAAAGGAGCTAGGAGTAATGTTACCTGGAGTCTTGAGTGCATCAAGACCCGGTAAGTCTTCTAATTTCATCCCTCCAACTCTCTTCCTAATGCACAGTGATACAAAACATTACTAGCAAATGGACATGTATAGAATTCCAAAAGAAAAGAAAGATATCATTCATTGTGTATCATTTTCCAAGAGAATAAAAAAATAATTGGAGATTGCATGAATACCATAATCCAACCTGGACACTACACCACAATCTGTTTGTAACTTGATATACCAAGAAACTTAGTAACAAAGAGAAAGCATGGACTACAATACCTGCTAATTTTGTATTGAGAAAGTTGAGCAGAAAATGAATTGATCTCTACATCATCAGCTATCTTTTCATGATTTAAAGTCCAAATTCGCACAACTCCATCAGAACAAGCCGTTACAATGTCGCCATTTTCCAAGAATTTGGTATCCCAAACACAACCAGGATGCTCTATGCTTTGTATACAAACTCCATCTGTAATATAACATGCCATTACATACTGACAATAACGAATCACAAATAATCTAAGCTGTCAGCCACAACCTTAACATCTATGCACTCTCTTGAATATTGTGGAAGAAAATAAGCTTGACCTTATTCGCAATTATTTTCAACTACTCTCGATTTAAGACATCAGTGAAATGAAGAAGAGATCACGGTTAAATATTCCTTGATAACATCTGTTTAATGCAAAGAAATATCAACCAGTAATTAGTTGTTCTATAAGAAGTTTGTCTTTGAGAAGATTTTCACAAATTCATGTAAGTTTTGCAGGCATAGCATTGAAGAAACAAACATTAACAAATCTACTGTAATTTGCTCCTGATTCTTCTTTTTTTTTTTTCTTTTGTGTGTGCGTGTGTGGGAGAAGTAAGTAAGCAAACCAGCAGCCAAATTCAAAAAGTAGTTTTTCCCTGGACACAAGAAATCTACCTTTCCATATTTTTGCCGAGCAATCTTCACTACCACTGACTATAAGCCCAGATGTATGTGCATCAACAGAATAGACAATGGACGTGTGACCAACCATTTCCATGAGAAGTTCCCCACTAACTGCCCACAGCCTGATAGAACTGCCATTTACAACTATAATAGGATTAATAAACCAAATCAAGAGACAGAAAGCAAGAGACAAGTATTATATGCCTTTAGAAAATGCGAACCTGAGTTATATTGATCAAAGCTATAAGACAAACAAAAACAAAAAAAAAAAACAAAAAAAAAATCATATCCAGCATTAAAGGAAGAAGTAAGAACTTCAGAATACTGTTAAGCACATCAGTTTGTATGGGCGATGAATGATAGCCAACCATATTGTGTAAAGGAGACAAACATACGCATATCTGAAATGAACCTTGTAGATGTTAATTTTACACTAACCATGAAAGTATCAATTTTTGTTTTTCTATTCTCACATTCAAAACATAGACAGATACTGCATTCTGTCATTCTATTTTATGGTCCAACTGGGTTCCTTTAAGTTGATGTTCTTTTATGCCATCAATATTGTCAGCCTTTCATATACTCTTTTGACCTTATTTGCAATTCTTCGATTAGCATCAGAAAGAAAGCCTGGATTTACATTATATCAGAAGAGAGTAAAGTTGAGTCTACCACCATCGCACGAATTTCCATTGAACTCAAGTATAGGAAGTCCAAATTAACAAAACAGTGTGGCCACTCATACAGTTAGCACGCCTACTTCAAAATATAATCGAATCTTACCCGTCATGTGATGCTGAAAGAATTCCTAAATCTGGCACAGCAGCAACCCCACGCACGGTGTCTGCAAAACCATATACGCAGAATAAAAAAAATAGTCGATCAATAAAACATTTGCCGTAAACAAATAATTGTATTAAATCATTCATAAGGCTTCCTTGTCCATGAACAAGCTTTCAATGTTTAAAAAAACATGCAGCCTAAAGATAGCCTCACAGAGCCAGGTGAAGTGTCTTAGGATGGTAATGCTTGACTAGTCCCAGTATGCCATAAAAGGAATCCCAATATTACATGCAGGACTATTGGAATGTTTAAGGCCACAATCATTAGGGAAAATGTATATATATGCCTTTATCATGTTGCAAATTCAAGAAAGCCTATAAAAATATCAATATCTATCTACAGCTGGGAGGCAAAACTGTCACATAGCAATAAAAAAGAAAACTTAATTAAAAACGATCGTTAAAGGTGGTTTTATGCATCTGCACTACATTTTAGGAGAATGAATAACACAGAAAATAAATAATAATATTATTAAATAAAATGTAAAAGATAACCTGTATGTCCAAGGAACGTATGCATGCAAGATTTCCCTTTCCAAAGCTTCAAAGTCATGTCAGTCGAACCTGGATAACCATCAGAATCATAGTTCAGAATTCAAGCTACGGCAAGGTCATAAATTCAAGCCAAATGTCTTATATGAGACGTAAATATTTTTTTTTTCCAGGAATATGAATGAAAAATAAACTAGAGAAAAAGATCAAAAAATTAGATCACCAATTTGTCTTTGTGTTTAAAAATATAAAAAGCTTCTGTAATTTTGATTTTTTATTTTTTTTTCCAGTTGGACTTTGCAAAATTTGCATAAACTGAACCTGATTCCAATATATGGTAGGATACATAAGAGAACGGATGCTAAAATTTAAGGCAACTGGTAAACCAATGGATAGAGATTAAAGATAATACCTGTTACAAGCTCCCCAGTAGGCAACTTCACAATTGCTTGAATTGCTGCTTTATGACCTTCCCAGGCATCAACTAGCTGACCTTCCCTCCAGCGTCTCAATGTGCTGAAATCAAGCAACCGCATAACAGAAGAATCAGAATTTTAACAGAGACTTGTGACCTAAATGAGGTCAATCTAAAAACACAGAGTTGCACATAAATTCATCAACAAAGTATATCTGAAAAGAAATAGCCCCACTATCAGAGGACCAACAATTAACCAACATCCCACATTTTGAATTTACATACAAGAAACAAGTCTCACGATCCTTCAGATATACATCGATTTTCTAAAGCAAGCACAATTCTAGAGTGGGGAATTTGATACCATGGAAATTTTACAACTATTCAGCTAAGTAAACTAAATCCATTTCCTGAATCACCATATGTAGAATACTGACCAACCACTAACTCCAGTTCATCATTTTCCAAATAAATAAAAACTTTAGGTGAAAAACACATCAAAATCATTTCCAAACTCAAAATTCAAATAAATTACAGAAATCCTATAAACCATCAGCACAAAAGCATACATACCAGTCAACAGACACTGAAACGATATCCGAACCATCCAACGCAACGCCAGTAACTTGCAACTTATGACCCTTTAACGTCTTCACCTTCTCGCCTGTGGCCAAATTCCACACAATAACGAGAGTGTCCATCCCTCCCGACACAATTCCACCCCCGGGCAAATCCTCGTTCGGTGGGACCCAAGCCAACGGCCCCACAAAACTGGTGTGTCCCAATAATATTTTAGACAAGGAGTAATCACGCTTCTGTGGCTCATCCAGAGTCCAAAACCTAACCGTTTTGTCTCTAGAAGAGGTAGCTATACCGGCATTGCCGCATATGCAAATGCCACGAGCCTGAAGACAATCAAAATTTCAGCAAAATCAATCAAACTCGAAAGGTTAATGCTCCAAATTAAAGCTGACATGCAACATGATGTAGCCAGACAATCAAGAAGTCAGCAAAATCAATCAAACCCAAAAAGTTAATGCTCCAAATTAAAGCAGACAAGCAGCATTATGTAGCCAGGCAATAAAGGTTAATGCTCCAAATTAAAGCTGGCAAGCAACATTATGTGGCCTTACACTTCTAATGAAAATAACTTCACCATTTAGTGATAGATTGAGCCAAACATGAGGGTTCAAACTCAAAGTTTCAAAATCCAAAATGCCGTAAAAGAAAATTAAGGGATTTTCCTGGGTGCTCAGCACAACTGATCAAACAGCTAAAAATTACTGAAAGCAGTAAAATTGTATAATAAATCGAGAATGCTATCGTCAACAAACTCTGGATCAATCACAAGCTTCGCATAAAAGGTTCGAGATAAACCAGTAAAAAAATGAAAACAGTGAGAGAATGTACATCGTCTTCGTGGCCTCGAAGTTGGCATCTCAACTGATAATCTTTGGCGTCGATATCCATTGCCGACCTTCCCAGACGAAATTTTCAGGGCTTAAGAGATTTCTACGCCGATTGAACTCTTTTGAAGGTGAAAAATCTCCGCGGATTATTATGAGTCGAGGCTCAAAACTAAATGTGCCACGGTGGTAAATTTTACTTTTTTGTGGGTGAAATCTGAGAATATCTTGCTTCCAAAGTCTACCAGAGAATATCGTATATGGGATCCTATATAATTTTGCCTTTTGGCATTATGGCCTCAAAAATGTAAAATTCCTCTTATATAAATATTTTATGTTGTAAAATATACTGGTTTTCTTCTTTTTCGTATTTTTTCTTTCATTTTATAGTTGTCTTTTATAGGCAATATTGTCAACAATACATTGAATTTCCTATACAAGATTTTAATCTTCTAATGATCTTACTATTTGCAATAGTGGTAGGTCCACTATTCATGTTATTCATAACACTCCTCATTGAAATTACCATTAAAAAATGTACATTTGTGTTGCCTCAATAAAAATTTTGTCTTGGAAAATCCAATGGGAAAAAAATCGAGATAAGAAAAAAATAATACAATCGCACATGCTCCCTTCGAGTTATCGTCCGTGTAAATCTCGAAGATGTCTCATTTCAATGTTATTGACGTTTTGAAATGTTGCAGTCAGAAATGCCTTAGTAAATAAATTTGTTGTATTATCGCTTAATGTTAATCCTTATAATTATGGATGTGTAATTAAAGGATCTTCAGTGCATCGTTCACCGAGACAACGATGGCGGGCACGGTTCTGGTGCCGGCAGACTCCATGATGGCCAACACAACCAGCTAGAGCAGCCAGCAAATGGCCTCACCGTCGTATCTGTGGCCGATCTCTTGTGTCAGCTGGAATACGCGAGTCGCGCACGACGTCGACATTCGAACCCGACGACAACGACCCTCCATCTTCGTGTGCTGATCCTCACTCGACTAATTCGTTGCGGACCTGCGACCACGACTGCCGATGTCTTTGAGGAATGTGGTGTGTATGGGCTTATCGTGTCAACAACAAAGATGGATGGTGAATTCCTCAGGGAATGAAAGAAGAAGACCAATTTCAATGTGTAGACAACTTAAGTGGTCGAGACGAAGAGGATGAACCACACATGAGCCTCGACAGAGCTTTAGCTTGGGTGGCCGCTACGGATGCCCCACAATTTTTTTTTCATTCTTGGCGAACTACATTATTATTATTATTATTATTATTATTATTGAAAATTGTACAAAATTCTTAAAATGCACTCAAGATTCAGATTTTTAGTTAAAATTACTTTATATTCAGTTTTTTAGGCAACGTGAACAAAAAAACGCAAAGTTCGTATGACTATTTTTTTAAAAAAATAGTTGATATGACAAACTGCAAAATTCGTGATAATCTTTTATTTTTTATTTTTTGTCCAACGATAGAAATTTTGATAAATAAAACACAAATATACAACTAAATCCAACCAAACGGTTGACTTAAGCAGCTATTGAGTTGAATGTACTAGGAGGACAGATCTAAAGGTCGCCTAGACACTACCAAACTCTCAACAGGAGAAAAAACAAAACACTCACAAGTGGAAACTACAAACAACACACTCCCAAAAGAAACAAAGCAAACACAATAAAACTAAAGTTATACTAAACTAAAGCTCTCTCCTCCAGCAGACGATACTCCCCTAAGAACCTCCAATGGACTGATGGCCCTGACAGCCCCCCAAGGAAACAAATCATGACCCAATACAAGGTTATAGAAACTCCCTTACCACCTAATTAGAATCGAACCTAGGACAAATCTCAACCCATAAGGTCTCCATCAGACTTCAACCAGCACGGCCACACCCCGCCCACCCCCAACTCGACTGGCAACCATAGCCCACCGAGAAGCCGCGTCCGTCGGCCGCCCCCAATCGCCCAGTACCAGAGTCGAGAGAGGATTGTGAGGCAGAACAACTGCCCACTCGACATCGGCTGCCACTGCTTCCGCCAACCGCCACCAGGCAACCACCGCGCTGCCGCTCGCCACCTGGAAGTTGTCGCCACCTCAACTACCATGGCCACCACTAAGTTCAACTGCGAAACCCAGGCGGTGTGGAGAAAAACGGTGCCTCGTCGAACCGCAAAGGAAACGAGACTGGAGCCGACCCGGGCATCGACCCCGTTTGAGGGAGGAGGCTCGCCGCTGGAAGAGAGGCACGAGTAGGACTGCAACCGAGTCGAGCTGAGTCTAGCATTGGCCTTTATCGAGCAGGATTGATTTTTTTTTTAGTTGCTCGAGCTCGATTTTTGAGGCTCGAGCTCGACTCGAAATCAAAATGCTCGAGCTCGGCTAAAAAAATTTTAAGTGAAAAGTTAAAATTACCATTAAGGACCAATGATAATATATATAAAGGGGTATTTTAGTAATTTATATGTATCTCGAGCTGCTCGACAAGGCAAAATATGGGCTCGAGCTCGACTCGAGTTCGTGCTCGAGCCGCTCGAGCTCGACTCAAGTTCGATCAAACTCGAGCTCGAGTCGAGTTTTGACTCAAGAAGAGAAGGCTTTATTCTATTTTCTGTAAGAAGAAAAGGGGAAAGAGAGAGATATTTTGTTTATTATCCAACCTCGTCTAGCTTTTTTTTTCGGAATGATAGGATATAATATATAAAACACATATTTACATCTAGACACAAGTTATAATTAGCCAACCAACTATCCAATTAAAAGACTATACGCAGTCTTCCCCAAAGCATAAATCGCTCTCAAATCGCCCTTCTCTCGCCGTCTTCTATTCATCGGTTTGTGCCTCATTTAGCAGCCGTCCGGGCTCGCCGGCGGACGGCTCTCCTGTCGCACTTCCTTCGTCGGACTGTGGTGCTCCTCTCTGGGGTCTCAAGCCAAAGGGGAGCGGGCTAGGTTATAGTCAGATCCGGCTTAGCTGGGCTTGTCGATGGTCGCCGTCTCCCTGAGGTGATGGGGTTTCGGTGGGGAGCGGAGCCCTATCGCTAGGATGTAGCTCGGTTTCTTTTATTGCAGCAGTCCGTCGTCTCTGCTATCTTTTCACAGCTGGGATGCTTCTCGTTTTCCAATCCCTCAGCGTTGCAGGGGTGTTTGGGATGGGGTTTATCCTGGTGGGGTGGTCGGTAGGTTGTCGAGGGTTCGAGCTGTATCGGATTGGCCAGGCTGAGGTACCATTCGTATCCCTTCCTCCTTTGCTCTCTTCCTGAGGTCGTGGGAGGCCGACTGTCTCTGAAATTGGCTAGTGTTGATAGGCAGTTTTGGGATGGTGCCGGATTAGGCTAGTGGTGTTAGCTGGTTGGGGATCGATTGTGGTTTCTTACGGTTGGAGAGCGGGCTATTTTGTTTGGTTTGATTCGGGCCTTAGGTCCTCGTCTTTGCTAGGCGTTAGACAGTGGCGGGCGGGGTTCATGTTTCTCGATTCTCTCCTTGGAGTCGTCCTATGTCTGCTGCTCAATTTGGATGTTTATGCTGAGGGAGGGCTACTTTAGATTATTTTAGTTTATTTGTTGTTCTTGTTATGTGTTGTCCGTGTTGTGTTTCTATTAGTTCTGTGTTGTCCGTGTTTTAGGTCTGGGCTGTTGGCTTCAGTATGCCCGAGTGTGACTTTATTATCCTGTTGGGACCTTATACTCGGGCATTACCCTATTGGGGTCGTTTTTAGTGTTCTTGTGTTTTTTGTGTGTGTTCCCGAATATTAGCCTATTGAGGTCGGATGTAGACTAAGGGCGGTGATCCTGCCTTAGCTACTGTGTGTTTGGTCGAGTCTCTAGACCGCCTGCATGCGTGTCCTCTCATTTTCAGTTTAGTGGGTGAGTTGGGCGGTTGCCCTTTTGTATTCGAACGTTTGTTCCCGTATTTTCGTGATATAATATCCCTATCGTTTCGAAAAAAAAACTATCCAATTGAATATAATAAGAGGACTGCACAAGTGTAGCTAAGGGCCTCTACACTAACTCGCCCACAATACAACAAACTATACAGCTCTCACGGAGAAGAATAACAGTTTCTAAAAGAAGAATAAAAACTAGAAAAAACGAAATCCATCCAACTGGAAGAAAGATACACCAACCCTAAAGCGACACAAACAACCAAAGCAAAACACTAATAATACTACTAGAAAATAGAATAAAGCCTTTACCGCAGCCGACAACCCCCACCGAGCTAACCAAGACAGCAACACCAGTGGTCGATCTCCCACATAGACATAGTCACGTCCCAAGAAGCAAATCAAGAAATTGCCAAACAACGCCTAACTAGATCCGCAACTAACAACCCAACCTCATTCCTAGGCGGACAACCCCATACCTGCAACCAAAGGTCCACTCCCCAAACTACCCCAACACTACTAACAACCCAGGCCCAAACCCAACACAACCCACGACCCGAGCTTGTCGGCCGCCTTTTCAGTCCGGCACCAGGAAAGGGGCACAAACCTTCAGCCCGACCACCACAACGAGGTTGATCGCGACCGCAACCCTCTCCGAACCACCACTGCGAAGCCGCTGGGGAATTGACGTACCTCCTCCCGCCATGGCATCCAGGACAGCGAAACCCACTCGGGGGTGACTCGCTGCCTCCACCGATGAAATTCTACGCTTCGTGGGACATCTCTTTAGGATCTGAGCCAAACGGTTCGGTGACGACCACCATCGTGGAAGCCCGACGAGACCGGCTGGGGAAGGTGCAGAGCAAAAGCTAGGTTTTCAAGAGAAAATGAGATTTGGGCCTAAAAGTTTTGGGAAGAGTGAAAAATCTTTCCAAGTGTTTTTCCTTATATCAAAGGGAGGAATGTTTGTTAGAGCACCCACAATGCTTTGAGTCTCTTAACAAAAAATTACATACCATGTAAGAAATAAACCTAGTCTATAAAAAACTGTTTCATAATGCAATTAAAAGTGGACCTAGTCTAACTTATGTGGCAATAAAAAAAAGAGACCAAACCCACTCTTTGGTCTATTTTGGACCCAAGTGTGAACCTGTACAATCAACAATCATTTAATATTATTATATTTTTATTAATTGTTAGGTATTCTAGACCTATTATTTTTTTTTTTGCATTGGATAGATTTTAGATTTTTTAGTTTGAGTTTGTCTATATCATTATAAATTTAAATTTATTTATTTGTTACATATGCAAAAACGAGACTGAAAACATTGTGAGTGCTCTTATAGTCCCGTTTAGTTCGAATGTCAAAAAAGTTCCAATAACCCGATTTTTGTTAATCTATTTTCGGCTAATTCCTTTTAAATCCCCAAACCTACTTTCACTTTCCTCTTCAATCCCTAACAAAATTTTCTTCCTTTCCACTTCCTAAAGACAAAAGAATTGGTCCCCTCATAAGGGAAAAATACATTTTTACCCTTATACCAATTAGATAAAACACAATTTTATCTTTGTACCACTCCTTTAAAGAAAATGTACCAGTATTACTCATAACGGTACCAACTCACTTAAAAAAGCATTAAAAAATGAAAAACACTCCCCTCTGGGAAAATATTGAAAAAATTCGAGAAAATCAAGGTCTAATTCTTGAAAGACTCGAAAAAACAAGTAGAAATATTGAATTTCTTGATACTTTACTTTCAGAAATTCTTGATATTGCAGCAAAAGCTGATAAAATCATAGAAAATATTAATAAGATAAACATAAACAGATTAGAAGAAACTCTAACAAAATTAGATGGGAAAATTCCAAAAATTGACCCACTAATAGAAAAACTAAATAAAGTAATCCAACTTGTAAATCAAATTGGAAATGAGTTAGGAATAAATGTCTAAAAATCCGGAAATAGGAAATGTACAACAAATTCTAACAATAGTTAGTGAAATAAAAGAAATCGTTCTAAAAATAGAACAAACAATACATCAGTCTGATTCTAGTAACCAAGACACAAAAACAATAGAAATAGAAAAACTTATAAAAGTCTTTAAAGAAAAGAAGTCTATACCTACTTATAGACCCCCCAATGAATGGAATCTTAAAGATTTATTTGAAAAGGACAAATATAAAAGACTAGAAGAGAAAAAATGAGTTCTGATTCAGAATTGAGTCAAA